AGGCCTTAAAAGAATCACAGGCGAACTTGGAATAACAGATTCTAATATAATAATAAAAAGTAAGTGGGCAAAAAGTGTGACAAGCATGCCTAAAAACTAAATAATAAATACGTTCTTTCCATCTGTCTTGAAGTAAATTACTCCATCGACGGAATAAAGATGGCTGTATTCTGGGATGTTTCATCTTGTAGTCCGGTGTATATTCACCGACGTTACAGAGAAGCTTACTGTCCCTATCATCGGTAAATAAGCTTCTGTGAAACGTCGGTCAATATTTTCCAGACAACTCGGTGCAACATCCCAGAATACAGCCATCTTCATACTCTTAGGAGTGAGAACCTGAAATCTCATTTAATAGAAAGAGCTTTACTTCCTCTAACCAGAACAGGCCAAGATAATAATCACTGGCATTGATGACACGAAAAATTGCCATAAGCAAGTTGTGAATATTGTACAAGCATAACCTAAGACACAGGTCCCTTTTACGTTTATTTGTCTGTCGTGCTAGTAGCTGTCCCAATATACACCATGTAGGCGCTTAGGGGGACAATCAGTATGGCTCCTACTCATTCTTGACCTCCGCACCAGATGGGGTGAGTGGTCAGCGTCACGACCCCGGCCGCGCTTTATCCCTTGGAAGGGAACCCGGTACCCATGGGATAGGAGACTGAGTGGTGGGCCCCAGAACCGGTCTGGACGCAGAGGCTACGGGAAAAATCCTCTGCCCTCGTTAGGGATCGAACCCCGGTCATCCAGTCCGTAACCAGTTATCATACTAGTGCATTGTCATTGCTAGTGCCATTCATGGTCTCACAATCGTCCAATCTTTTATATGACTTTCTTATTCGAAAGAAGTAATTACGCTAGAAACGAAGAACAGTGGAAATACACATGCATGTATCTTTCCGTGAAAGACGAGTAATTTACTGACTAGCTTCTGGAGGACTGCTCCATGAAGTCTTTTAAAGAGAAGAGTTGTGGCATTAAAGTGATTAAATGTACGAAGAAAGAAAAATTGTTACTCTGCACACATACATAAAGAAATTTGTTGTAATGTTGGTTACTTTGAGGCATTTGCAAGCGAAATGAGCGGACAGCATACAACCTCAACACTTGACTACAGAAGAAGGTCGCCACAAGATTGCACCAACTTCTCTCCGCTTCCCCTCCAGGTCGGCGACTGCGTTCCCCTTTAACCAACTTCCGTCTGTGATATCACAACATGGCAAGCAGGCCATCTCTTTCTATTCCATGCTTTGAACTATAACCAAGAGTGAAAGTAAACCAGCAATTTCCTGGCATCCGCTGGTTGCTGGAGGTTTTGCCATCATGAACCCCGCCACATCCATGAAGCTTCTCTCAATTAATTCTCGCCTCCCGGTGTCATCTCTTTTATTAACTGTTTCACAAACATCAGTCTGAAGCCTATTACAATTCTGAAGTCAAGATCAGTAGACTATGGGCTGAAAAATTATCACATGTCTGCATTAGCCTCCTGTCAGAAGCGAACTGAAAAAACTATCTTGACAACTGGTCAAGGTTCTAAATGCTTCCCAGAATGTCTCACATCCACCAGTACAAGGACTAATTTACTAAATACCTCGTTAGCCAATAGGCCCACAAAAGATTAGCGTACAGCCTGAATCGCTGGATTTCGATCCCAAGCTGTGGTGTTGACACAAATTTATAATGATCCTAGAAGACCCTACATCGATCACGATTCATCACGAAGGAGTGTGCTGCTATCAAATGGGATAGTTTCAACTATCAGCACCATCTACTCACACTCACCGCCGACTACCTGCCCTATATAAGGCTTCCAACAACGCCCAGCCTCTTATATTCCCGTCAGCGTAAGCAAACACCTGTTGCAGTTTTAAGACACTGTTTACCACGGCCAGTAATGCGTTTCGTACACATGAATGGTGTAACCTAAAGGGACGATTGCAGTGGATTCCATCTTTAGTTAGGTTTTTGGATGGTTGGTTGGTTGGCCACGCTCTACAAATTCTCCCTGAAGAAGTCAAAGGCAAAGACAATAAGTTTTAGGTTTTTTGGTTTGGGTTATTTATGACAATTACTTAACAAGGAGTGACTGACTGGTGGAAAGGATGGGAGAAAATGAAAGTAAGACGAAACAGTTTTTGGAAGCTAAAGTTGAGGGCACCAGAACAAGAGGAAGACCTAGAAAGAGCTACTTGAATACTATTAGAGAAATAGGACAGGCAAAGGGGAAAAGTTTAACGCAGATGAAATTCTTAGCAAGGGATAGGAAGGAATGGAGGAGGTGGACCCAGCAATCAACCCCGACGCTATAAAGGCAAAAATGGGAGGTGAGAAAGAAGAAGAAGATGTCAATAGTCCACGATCAAATTAATGTTCGTCCCTATTTACAACAATTCAATAAAAAAACTTCGTAGTTTGCCTTCCCTTGCCAACTTCACTCACTAATTACCAAATTATCAACGAAAATTCGGCAGCGATAGTAACACATTTAACTCGATTTTATGGTTTAACACACAGAAATAACGGAAATAATTTCCAAACAGTGTAGCTCTTAAGGCGATTTAGTCTAAAATATTCGAAAAATAACGATATCTGGTTTTATGTGATAAGAAAAAAACTTCTCATGCGGAAAACTTCTCTGCATGACCATATTGAGGACCACACCTCTGGCAAGTTTCACACGTAAAACACATAGAAACTAGACACACACACCCAATTTAAAATTTTGTAATGTAATACATATAGTAAGCTTATCAGCAGAAAAATGTTTTAAAATACTATTTGACATAAATTACCTCTTTCTTATATGTACTTTTTCACAAGAAATTATTACTCAAAACGACTTCCAGACGTTGTTTTAAAAATACGGACCTCTGCAGCTTTATTGGACCGCAAATTCAAACCGAAAAATCAGAGGAAGGATGATTTGAAAAGGTTTCGAGTGTTGGGTCCTCGGCTACGTGAAGGAATAAACGCGGGTTTGATAGAAATGGCGACTCTCAGACGTTGAAAATTCTTTTGTATTCTGCGAGAATAAGTCAGTGACCCAGTTTGCATTGCACTTGAATGCAGAAGTAAAATGGACCATTTCCTGTTTGGAATGCAAGAAGGCACTTGCCAAATGTGATACGTTCTACAAAACCTAAATTCTAAAACGACGACTATGATTATCAGTTTTATTTTGGCTCAATGAGACGTACGTGAGGAGAGGGGGGCAACTGCGATCCTGGAAATGGAAAAAGTTGTAAGATTACCAACAGCATGCCCTGCAGACCTGCGGGATTAGAAGTTTTCTAATTTACTCGATGCGGTCAGTTTTTTATTCATCTTACGGAAACTTCGAGTCACATTTAAATTGCCTATTTACGATTTTAATTCTGAGTGAAAACTAATCACAAAGTCTTAAGCCACATGCAGTCTTCAGATTAGCTAGTGATTCCTAACCGGCCCAGGTTTCAGACGTGTCCGTTCATAACGGCGAAATAAAACTACCTGTAAACACACCCCAGGCTCCTAGATTTCAATTTCCTACGATCTGTAATGGGGTCCGCAGTGGCCGCACGGTCTGAGGCGTGGGCCTTGTGCCGCTTGGTCGCTGGGACCGTGGGTTCGAATCACACTCAAGCCATGGATGTCTGTCAGCGTTTTTCTGTGTTGTGCTGTCCTGTGTACAGGTAGAGGCCTTGCGACGGGCCGATCCCTCGTCCAAGGAGTCCTACCGAATGTCTGTAGATCGAGCCAACGAAACGTTGGGACCCACAGTGCTCAGGCACTTGAAGAACGGGTCGTTCCCAGTATCCGGTATCCCAGTACGATCTGTAATAATCACCATGGATGGCTCACAGATTTATGAATTAGCCCTAAAATTGTATATGAAAATAAGTTGAATCGTCTGCATACATACAATGTTTGCCGCGTAGCTGTATAATTTAAAAGAGAAAAATGTCGGCTGCATGAATTCCGTATTTAACTATCAATCGGATGGTGATTCTTTATGAACCGTATAATTGTATAATATTTAAGTCAGGATTATGTCTATAAAATGTAAGGCAGATAAAATCTTACTTAAGAAATATGTTCTTCCCAATAAGTAAATAACAATACTTATTATTAATAATAATTCAATTTTTATTATTAGCGTACTATATCAACAGCCATAAGGCCAATTATATAATTATATTCATTTAAATAGATTAAATAACTTAGATGAGAAGGAAATATGCAAATCATACAATCAGAGAATTTACATAATTAGAATGATAACATACTGTTAGTCAAAGGTAAGCAGAGGAGGAGAGATAGGTGAAAATGTATGTAATTATCAGAATTTGATTCTACTGTTTGGGTTTAAATTTACTTCACCTACATATGACATTAGCATAACAAGATTTGTAGCATTGGAATTATATACAACAGGAAAGTAGGCTTTGGGGTTCCGTCTGCCCTCCGTCTTATTGTCTTTTGAAACTGTAAACACTGCGCCACTGCGTGCTTTATTTCGTGCTTCGTCCTTATATTTATACTTAAGCGGTGTCTGATCCAGACCTTGAATCCATGTGCTTGCAGTTTCCTAATCACTGCAACCTATTGTTCTCTTAATACACGCGATTCGGATAAGATGAGAGAATTATATGGAATTTACTTCTCGTTTCACTTAATTTATTTTTAATGTGAGTCTTAATACACGACAAACACAAAAGGTAAGATAAGAAAGTAGGCAAGGCCTCTGAGACTTAATGTTTGGCGATGGAATTTTTGTACTTTTATTAAAACTCCTGCCTTCAGTTCAACTAATAATGCAATATACGATTGAATTCTAAGGCAGACCAGAGGCACAATTTAAGAAATGTTGAAGATTTCTGTCTTCTGGGTTGTTGCGCTGTGTAGTCTGGTCGATGTTTACCAAGGTTTCAGAGGTCATCGCATGACCTCTGAATCGCTGGTAAACATCGACAGCGCAACAACCCAGAAGACAGAAATCTTCATACTCCCCGCTGTGAAAACCTCAAATCTTACTTAAGAAACGTTATTCTTCATGATGTACAGAGTAAGAACGCGTGAAGGACGCAAATAATACTAAAGAGCTAAAGCAAAGTCTTAAATCCCAATATAACACAAAATGCTGTTACAGATTGTGGTAGCCTATTAAAAGGAAGTTATGTTTTATAGAAGGAGAATAATTTAATTCGATACGACTAGAAACTAGTCGACATCTACAGCAATTACAAACATATTAAGTAGTAGATAAAGAAAGTGGAGTCTCGTATGTGAGAATAAAGTTCAAAAGATTCAGCGTGCTAGTGTGTGTTGTGCTGCAGCACTGTGCATCAGACACGATCTTCGATGCGGTAAGTTTACTTCCATTTACTTACAGAAAACACGATCCAGTATAAATCACAATCGTAGACAACAAATTAATTAGCATTTTCAAATTAGGACGTTCGTTTTTGTACTAATGTCTGATCCTACGATACCATCATTACTAACACAGGTTTTTAAGTACGTGATACCACAAAAATTATCACACCCACTATTAGTTATAATATTTATTCAAATCAGAAAGCTGATAAAACCTTCGTATCGTAAGTCATAATAAAAATAATTGTGATTAATGAAAATCTTTTGCGTAAGAGTGAAGAATTAACGCACTTTCATACTCTGTAAATGTTCAGAAAGCGTAGTTTTAGTTTCCTTAACAGGTGTCGAACTTTCTGACTAACAGACTGATTATCAGTTTAGCCAAAACTGTTCCGTTCCAATAGGTTAGTAGTTATTTGTGTTAGATCTCTTATTTGCCCGTTACATATTAAGCTATATACCACTACTTACGTCGCCATTTATATTTTTATCACCACATGCTTCAGAAATAATTCAGATTATGAGTTTTCAGGCTCTCATGGCAGCGAGTATAAAGATGACTGTATTCAAGGTTGTTGCGCCGTGTAGTGTGGTAGATGTTCATGGCGATGGGAATCCGAAACGTCACGAAAGAGAGTGTCGAGCTTAAAGTACGAAGTAAAGGACAGAAATACATGTTATGAACATACATCCATTTCAGACTGAAAACAACTTCTACACAACGCAAAAAGCGTTAATGAAAACTACAAAATAACAGTTAATTTCAGTTTTCAAAGGGAATTTTGGTCCTGGGTCATAGATATTCTAGAGAAGAAAGCTACACAAATTTAACTTAATTTCAGGTGCATGCATCTTTAATTTCTTTTAATTTAGTTACATTTAATACTTTAAATGGCTGCGTGGAACAGGGCCTTTCCCGAGAATTTAATAGTTTCTCATCCAGTCACAAATTTTTTTGTCTTTTATGTAATTAGTCACAAGATCCCGCTACTAGATTCTAATAAATCTAGCATTATTAAAACAATATAAATAAACTTGAATAAACTGGAAACATACTCAAGGTTTGTCTCGCCGCAAACGCAAGCCTCAACCAACCAATTAATGATGCCTGGCACGCAGCCTTGAGCTGCCAAATCATGCATTTTATCTGATCGATTCTACCAAACGTACCACTGAATAACAGAATCAAAGAGTTTTTATTTTTCGTATTTCAAAGTACTGACCCTTCCAACACGGTAAACACGGGTA